CCATGCGCCCCGGGCCAGCCCTGCGCATGTGCCGCGCGCCCAGGGGAGGGGCCGCCCATGTGTCCCGCGCCTGGAGCCGGCACCATGCATGTGCCGCGTGCCGGGGGTGGGGCCAGCCCAGATGTTTCAGCGGGCGCCCAGAAATCACCCGGCGGGCGCCATGGCGCCCGCGGGCACCGCGTTGGGGACCACGGCTCTAGGCCATCCCTCCAGGTGATAGTGCTTAGTAGCATGAACAATGGAGTGCATAGGACAGGGATGGAAATATCACTAGAGCACCAAAGATGGTGGCAAGCCTGTGAAGAGAGCCCAGCAGGCAGATCTGAAATGCTGTTCATCTCTTCCATATATCTTTGCATAATTGCAGGGAAATGGTGACTGAATGAAATATTTAACTGTTGGGCAACTGATTATTTCTAATCATGTTGCCCATGGCTCAGTGACCCCATTACTTTTGAAAAGACTCAGAAATCCCATCAGAACTATACCTTTGGGGAAAAAAACCCACTGATCTCTAGTATCAGCTTCTCAAGAAGGTGTGATTATTTCCTGACAGCCACACCAGCCATTGGTTAGACTTACAAATAGTGGCCATATTGGGAACTGAGCAGTTTTAAAAATCTGGCCCTTGTTCAGGTGTCCAATGAGGAGCTGAGCTGTTTTGAAAATATAGCCCCAACCTTTCTGATTCCTTGACAATCTGACCCAAGGATATTCCCATGGCCACCATTTATGGGGGTGGGGAAGCAGTAGCCCCCTCTCCCAAGTTTGAACCCCCAGATTTCATACTTGAGATCTGGTTAAAGCCCATGTCCTGACTGCAGAGGCAGTTCTTAAATGCAACAGAGTTTGTGCTGCTTGCAGCTTTGCCTTTGGGGCAGGGAATTTGTTATAAAAAGAGGGAGGCAGGTGATAAAGAACAACAAAAGGCTGGGCATTCCAGCAATTGAAGGATTGGTTGATCATTGTGAAAACATTGCTGAGTACTCCACTTAAAAGATAGGGGGAAGAGGGAAGAAAGAGTAGGAATGAGTATTGTTCTCAGGGTCCTGCCTTTGGACCACTGCTGTTAAAATTCTCATAAATGTTCTTGAAAAGGTGGTAAACAGTGACTAATCCAAAGCTGACTGCAAAGAGTTACAAAGGGATCTCACAAAACTGGGTGACTGGACAACATAATGGCAGATGGAAGTCAGTGTTGATAAGTGCAAAATAATGCACATTGAGAAGAATAATCCTAACTATAGATACAAAAAGGAGGGGTCTAAAAGAGGTCTTGGAATCCTTGTGGATAGTTCCCTGAAAACATCTG